AACCAAATTTTTTTCTGGGTATTGAAACAGTTAAGAGTGACAATGGGATTATTTTATCTCAACAACGGTATATGAATGATATTTTAAAATGGGCTGGAATGTCTGAATGCAAACCCCTTTCTACACCTATCTCTGTCTCGAAAACTGTCCCCTTCAATTCAGATCTATATGATGATACCACACAGTACAGGATTCTAGCTGGAGCACTGCAATATCTCACTGTCACACGACCTGACCTATCCTTTGCAGTTAATCAGTTATGTCAGCATATGCATGCCCCCACCATATCACACTGGGAGCAGCTCAAACGGGTACTCAGGTATGTTAAGGGAACAGTTGATCATGGTTTACGCATACGACGGTGCTCATCTAGAGACATTCATGCTTTCTCTGATTCTGATTGGGCTGGTTGTCCTGACGATCGAAAATCCACGAGTGGTTTTGCTGTTTTCTTGGGGAGTAATCTTATATCGTGGGTTTGCAAGAAACAGAGAACTGTTGCCAGGTCATCCACTGAGGCTGAATACAAAGCTCTTGCAGATGTTTGTGCTGAGGTTCTATGGATTATGTCATTATTGCGTGAGATACAGATTCCGGGTATTTCCATTCCAAAATTATGGTGTGATAATCTAGGAGCTACATATATGAGTGCCAATCCAATCTTTCATGCGCGCACCAAGCATGTGGAGATTGATTATCATTTTGTTCGTGATCGAGTAGCTTCGGGCGATATCCAAGTCAACTTCATCTCCACAAAGGATCAACTTGCTGATATCTTCACCAAAGCTCTGCCTGGACCTAGATTTTCTTCCTTAAAGGACAAGCTACAGGTTACTAGTATACACTGTGCTTGAGGGGGAGTATTAGGACTCTATGTATATGAGTCTGTTTAGAACTTCTTATCCTTGTCACACTGTGACTCTCTACTTCTTATCATTGTCACACTGTGACTCTCTATTCTATATATTCACATCATCTGATCTCATTGTAATCAAGTTCAGAAAATATAATACAATCAGTTCTCATCAGTAGATAGTAGATTAGTAGATAGTAGATATACATATATATATATATATATATATATATGTATATATATATATATATATATATATTTATGTATATATACATAAAAATAAATAAATATTATATTATATACATACATGACAAATATTTAAAATTTAATAAGAGCAAAAAAAATATTAGCCCTTCACAATAATGAACGTTATGTTGGTAGTATAAATTGTATTAAGTGTTTGTTCTTTGTGTTATTTGTGCTGTTCCTTTACACTTTATTTCTAATTTCTAATTTTACATTTCACATTTTTTTTTACCTTTATTTCATTACTAGTATTTTTATGCGCGATGCGCAAAAAATAGGTGCCCAATATTAATACTTTATATTGAAATTTTAAGTTTATTTAAATTTTAGATAATTAAATTATTGTAATTAATAATAATAATAATAATAATAATAATAATAATAATAATAATAATAATGTAAAACATTTTTATAAATTTGATATTTATATTTTAGGAAATAACTAACATATAACCCCAATATATAATGTGTATATATTATTATTATTAAAGAAGATAAGAACATATATGGTGGATGCATGTGCATAGTAACAATAGTGAAAAATAACAGAAGTTATAACGGTAGGGGTATGTTCGTCCAAAATATTGTATAGTACAACTTTTATAGCATAATGAATCAAAAAAATTAACGAAAAAAATGGACATAAATGAAGTGTATAACCTTCATTCACCCAGCTAGCACATAACAAAATCGCATATCAAAAGTGACAGCAGCAAATACATTTTGTGTTGTTCCCCCTTACGTCCGCGAAAGCTTCCTTGCATATTAATTGGCACGGATGCACGAATATGGGTTCCATCTATTGCTCCTAAGCAGTCTTTGAAATATGGATAAAATCTTGGATTGCTAATTATTTCATGAGGAGTTACTTCACCATCCGGTAGTACTACGAGGTTCGTATACAAAGATAAAATGGCTCTCAAAACACTTCTAAAGTAACGATGAACTGTCTCAATTGACCTATAATACCTTGACCCAATTACTCGAAAGCGTACATTGTGACCTATTATATGTAAAAATATTAACACTTGTTCCTTAATACTAACGGCTCTAGTTGTGCGTAATAAGATCTTAGTAGCAAAAATGTCACACAATTTATAGAAGGAAATATGTCGCATTCTAATAACGCTAATGCATTTGTTATCACCCTCACACAAGATACTATTTATGTAACTCTCTCGCTCATCATCTCTATTGAGGATGTCATGTTCTATTTGGTTTGTATTCCTAAGTTGTTGCAATAGAAGGACTCCCATAGCTAGTATAGCACTTGCTGCACTCATAACAGTTGCACGCACATGATTTCTATCCATCTATATAATCAAAATAATAATCCAACAAATACCAACAATTAAAATTAACACATAACCACAAATTAAGCAAAGCATGTTATTATATAATCAATAAAAAAAATACCAGCAACAACTTCACGGTTTGGCATAAAAAAATACAAACAAAAAAAATTGTAACTGGTTTCCGATCGGAAACCAGTGTTAACACTCCAGTGTTAACACTGGTTTCCGATCGGAAACCAGTGAACCAGTGTGTTCACTGGTTTCCGGTTGGAACGCACTGGTTTCCAATCGGAAACCAGTGAACACTGGTTTCCGATCGGAAACCAGTGCATGGTTTCCGATCAGAAAGTGACTGGTTTTCCGCATCGGAAACCACACCCATAATATTTGGAAAAAAAAATAAAAAAATTAAAAAAACATACCTTGTAGCTTTTCTAGTGTTGGTGAAGCTTTTGTGGATTGTTGGAGAAGATGCGTGGGTAGGTCTTTGTTGAATGTTGAAGAAGCGGTGAAGGGAGAAGAAGCGTGTCTCGGATGTTAATTGAAAGATGGAAAATGACTTCCGCAAAAAAAAAAAGGGAAGTCATTTTCCTGATTTCAGCCCTTATTTTCCATTGACTAGAAATCATTTTTCTTTGACTTTTTCATTTTCAGCCTTCTCAAACACCAAAAACTTGGAAAATGACTTCCAGAAGTCATTTTCCGGGTTTCCAAACAGACCCTTATTATGTTTTTAGATTTTTAACATTTGTTCTAAATTGGATTTTTTTGGAGAAAAATTATAAATTGGAATTAAAATTCTATTAGTAGTATAAGTGACATTAAATGTTTTTCTTTGATGTTCTTTGTGTTGGGCACTTATACTTTATTACAAACTTTACACACAATTTTTTTTTATAAGGTGTACCCTCACTGTGCAAAATACAACCACATGAATACATATGTTCATATGTAGTTTCTATAAATATAATTTACTTTAATAATAATTTTTACTTAACCATTAATTTGTATATATTTTAATATATGTGATTTTCTTATTTGAAAATTTAACTTAAATTTATTTTAACTCTTTTTTTCAAAAAATTAAAAATTCACATTTTTTTTTCTGGTTTTAAAAGAGTTCTATTTTTAATTTGTATCTTATTTGATGCGGACCTATATGTATCATTTGATTTTTGGAAGAATGATTATTGACAATAAAACATTTTCATTTCATTTATTATGATATCTATTTTAAAATCTAATTATAATAATTTTTTTTTTTATGAAAACTAATTGCAGTTGCTAAAAGTTAAATCTAATCTTTTTGAAACATAATATCTACTAAGTTTAATGCATTTTTTTTCAAAATGTATGCTAGATACTAATATCTCTTATCATATAAAATTAAAATTTCATCTTCTCAAATTTATATGATTTATGTGAGTATTTATTTATTTCGACCATTTAATTTTATTAACTTTGTGTTGTTCATTGAACATTATTCAATGGTATATGATGCGTATTTACCCATCTACTGTTTTATTATTTATTTTTTTATAATCAAAACTCGACTAACTTATACCTTATTGACTTATTCCTCATCCTAGCATACCATACAAAGTACATCATTAAAAAAAAAAAAAGCTCATATAAAAATTGTAGTTTTTTTTTTTTAAATATAAAATTGTAGTTAATACCTAAGATCATCCTTGACTATTTCATAACTCTCAAATTGATTTTCAATTATTAATTCGCACAAAATAGTTCCTCAATTTTGTAAATTTTTACTTATTCTAACCCTTTATTACGTACCCAATGACTAAATTAAGTAAATTTTTATATAACTAAGTGATAATTTTAGATGAAATGACAATTAAAAATTAATTTAAGAATTATGATATAGTCATATTATTGATATTAACTCAAAAAGTTGTTATTATTCGTAGTTTCTAGTCTAGTTTTAATATTTGAATATAATATAGCTGCCAGACTGGGAATATCTGTTTTTATAATGTAGTTATGGATCCACTCCAATAGTCAAACTTGACTATGCAATTATATTATTTGCAAAAACAACATTTTTTTTATCTTTGAGGGAAAAGGGAACACAAAAGAAAGAAATAGGAATTTTAAATAAGAATGGAAAGGAGAAGAAATATTTAGTAGTGTATTACTTTTTAAAAGAAATATAATTTGAAAATATGTAGTAAGACTATGTGGTCTAATGGTACCGAATTAAACTTCCATTTGCTAAGTTGTGAGTTTATTGGCTCTTTGTGTTTCAGTAGGTTGAGAAAGTATATGAACAGATACTATATTGTAATAGAGTCAGTAACATTCAAAAAAATAATTTGAAAAATATTTTTAGGATTGTGTAATTATTATTTAAGTTGTTAAAAATGTAAAAAATAATTTCCATTTATAGATGTATATGTAACATTGTGGGAATGAACATAAATAAGAGAGTATAGGAAGCGACGTACACGCGGTTGGTGTGGCACTTGAGGACAGCGCGTCAACCGCTTCTCTATAAATACTTGGCCGAAACCTCTCGCTTCTTCTCTCATAAAACCAAATTCAGATTCTAACGGCGGCATCTAACCGCCACGCTTTTCTCCACTCAGAATGGACGTTCGCCGGCGTCTGAGCAAGCAGCTTTGCCGGCCTAATAAGGGCTCTGCGGCGGCGTGTGAGACTATTAAGGCTCATAAACAGCAATATCTTCTAGTGTCCTCGCCTAAGGCGTCGGATGCCCTTCCCCTGCCGTTGTATTTGACAAATGGGTTGTTTTTCACCATGTTCTTTACGGTGATGTATTTTCTGCTGGTGAGGTGGAGGGAGAAGATCCGGAACTCTACGCCTCTCCATGTGGTGACGTTGTCGGAGCTGGCTGCGTTGGCGTCGTTGATCGCCTCGGTGATTTACCTGCTGGGGTTCTTTGGGATCGGGTTCGTGCAGTCTTTTCTGTACAGGGCGAATCAGGAGGGGTGGGATGGGGAGGATGAGAGCAATGAGCAGTATTTGTTGGAAGAGGATAGCCGGCGTGGGGCTTGTTCGGCTGCGGCGGCGGCAACTACTCTGGGCTGCGCTATTCCCCCACCCACACCACCTGTTCGACGAATTGCCTCAGTGGTTCCTGAGCAACCTGCGAAGATCTCCAACGGCGTGGCTGAGAAACCAGCTCTCTTAATTGCACCGGACGGGTCTGAGGAGGACGAGGAGATTATCAGCTCCGTTGTGGCGGGGAAAACTCCGTCCTATTTGTTGGAATCGAAGCTTGGGGACTGTAAGCGCGCCGCTTCTATTCGCCGCGAGGCTTTGCAGAGGATCACAGGGAAGTCGCTGGAGGGGCTTCCATTGGACGGGTTTGATTACGAGTCGATTCTTGGGCAGTGCTGTGAGTTGCCTGTTGGGTACGTGCAAATACCCGTGGGAATTGCGGGTCCATTGTTGCTTAACGGGTGCGAGTACTCCGTCCCAATGGCTACCACCGAAGGCTGCTTGGTGGCTAGCACCAATAGAGGTTGCAAGGCTATCTTTGCCTCCGGCGGCGCTAACAGTATCGTTCTCAGAGACGGTATGACCAGAGCTCCGGTGGTTAGGTTCGGAACCGCCAAGAGGGCCGCTGAGTTAAAGTTCTTCGTTGAGGATCCCGTGAATTTTGAGACTCTCGCTGTCGCTTTTAACAAGTGAGTGCTGTTTGGTAATTTTTTATTTACCATTTTTCTACAGTAATTTATCTTCAGTTTCCCTTGAATTTAAGGATAGTTTTACTGTTTATGTAGGCCTTTTTTATGGGTTTTGTACTTTCGTTTCTGGAAAACACTGGCTTTGGTTCTAACTAAATATTGTAATTATGAATTAGTAGTTTGGTATGACTTTTCTCACTAAAGTTGTAAAGTCTTCAACTTTTTTACTGGGAGTGACTGAGAGTTAACTAGAAAGTGTTCAAACAGGACACTCGGAAGCAATTTTAGTTTTTGCTTTCTTTTTCTTTTTTAAACTCTGCATATCACTTTCGCTGATTTTTTTCTCTAGCTTATACCTTTTGCCAAAATCTCTTTGATGTTGATATATTTAGATTGTAGATTATATAAGGGTATTATTTTTTTTCTAGCAAGTACTTTCTTTATAATTTATATTTTGGTTTTTATGTGGGGTGCAGATCAAGCAGATTTGCCAGATTGCAAAGCATCCAGTGTGCAATTGCTGGGAAAAATCTATACATGAGATTCTGCTGTGGCACTGGAGATGCCATGGGGATGAACATGATCTCCAAGGGCGTCCAAAATGTTCTTGATTACCTTCAGACTGAATACCCTGACATGGATGTCTTAGGCATATCTGGTACTCCACTTGTTTGTCTTCCATTTTTGCAAATTATATATTACAATCCATTAGTTATATTAAATGAAGAAAAAGAACAGAGTATTTGCACGCATATAGGTTCATTATCACGTGAGAACCAACCTTAACCTGCAAACTGCGAATTTGTGAAGGATTGCACCGCAAGTTCCTCCAAGCATGTCTGGGAGCTGTAGCAGTGCAATCATGTAACAGTTGTGCTGCAATCCTTCACAAGTTCGTAGGTTAAGACTGATCATAGCTTTTCATCAATGGTTTTAGGGTTTAGGATTATTGTTAAAAAAAAAAAAAAAACACGGGTTAATTGTAAATTGTGGCTTTAGAGGTTAATAACTGTTGTGTATTCATCAGGCTGTAAGTTAATGTGAACTCATCATATTGAACCAGAAAAAAAAAAGGTAGCATGTATGTCAATTTTATGATGGTGATGCTGTTGTTACTCTGTTACAAGTGGTGTATGAATCGTGATTTCCATTCTTTGATTACATGATGGTATGTTTTATTAATGGATGGTAAATGAACGTTGACAGGGAACTTTTGCTCGGACAAGAAGCCAGCTGCGGTGAACTGGATTGAGGGGAGAGGGAAATCAGTTGTTTGTGAAGCCATAATTAAGGAAGATGTGGTTAAGAAAGTCTTGAAAACTGAAGTTGCTTCTCTAGTTGAGCTAAACATGCTCAAAAACCTCACTGGCTCTGCCATGGCTGGCGCTCTTGGTGGTTTTAATGCTCATGCCAGCAATATTGTCTCGGCTGTATACATAGCCACAGGCCAGGACCCCGCTCAAAATGTGGAGAGCTCTCACTGTATCACTATGATGGAGGCAGTCAATGATGGCAAGGACCTCCATGTTTCAGTAACCATGCCTTCAATTGAGGTATATATTTTGATCTTTACTTTTTAGTTGAACTTTGACACTTCATCTTCTTAGTGTCATTCTGACCACCACATCCTGCTCCCCAGCCCTCCCCACATCCCCACCGACCCAGAATAGGGAATATGCCTTGTGGGGCTTAGCTCAATGGTTTAAGAGTCACCCTAAAGTCTTGCTCTAGCCGTAGGGTGGGGTTCAATTCCCACTGAAAACATGGGGGTCATTGGGAGACCCAAAGCCTAAAAAATTGATTAGAGGTGATAAAGACTCCTTGTGCGCAGAATGTATAGGCAGGGTTGGAAACTGAGGATTAATTGAGCGACTCACTATTTACCTCTCCAGTACCCTTAGATAGGGTTGTTTATGAGGGCTTAAGATTAGTCTAGTGTAAGCTGGGAAACCTAATGTATATATAAAAAAAAAAAAAAAGGATATGGATGCAAGCTGCAGCATTGGATTCTTCAGATCTGAATTTAGTTGAATGTCTTTAAAAAAAAAGTGGGACTAGATCTAAATACTCTGGTGAACATGTTCCATCTCTTTGTTCTATGAAACACAAGGTGGTGGTGGTACAAGAAAGTCATGTGTTGTTTGTCCTCTTAAGGGCCCCATTTTCTTTTTCTCGATGGAACCATGTCTGTCATCTAGAAAACCAATGCTCACTTGCCTTATTCTGCTATCCCTCCACATTTTACTGAGATCTAATTCTTCAGTAACTACCATCCAATTTACTCTTTCCCATGACTCAGGTGGGCACAGTTGGAGGTGGGACTCAGCTTGCATCTCAGTCTGCCTGCTTGAACTTACTCGGGGTGAAGGGCGCTAACAAAGACTCCCCCGGGACAAATGCTAGGCTCTTGGCCACCATCGTAGCAGGGGCTGTTCTCGCGGGTGAGCTATCCCTTATGTCTGCTATTTCAGCCGGGCAGCTCGTGAAAAGCCACATGAAATACAATAGATCTAGCAAGGACATGACAACGACCCAGCAGGCCTCCTCCTAATCAAGCGCGCTTCGAGTTTAGAGCTGCTCTATTTAACGTAACAGAAGTCATGACTCTGGTTTCTAGTCTCCATTCACCCTAGCCTCTATCATCTGTAAATGGTAAAAATAAATAGTGTGTGAAGGAGGGTCGGTGGGCAAGCGTTTGTGGTGTGGAGAGTACGAGGAGGAAAGAAACATTTTTTGTTTCTGGGAATCCATGTTTTATTTTCTGTTTACGTAGGCATGTGAGTGTGGTAGGTATGTTTTATTTGTTGTGTAAAGAAGCCTCCAAGATTTAAGGTCATAGATCTGAGGGGAGAAGGCTGGCTGCTCGCTGCCTTTTACCAGTGGGCTTAATTATATTATTTTTTCTGCAATAACTTTAATGTCGTATTGTTGTATTATGGTATCGCAAAAATTTAAATTTTTATTCTTTAGGATTAATTTAGTGTAAGTTGGAAATCTAATCTAATGTATAAAAAAGAAAGAAGAAACAAAAGTTGTTACGCTGCGTTGTGTATACACATTGGGAACGGAGGTTAGAAATAAAAATGGGAATGCAAGAAAAGACGGGGGACAAATATACCTATGGCGCCAATTCTGTCGCTCAAGACATTTTTGTGATTGTTGGTTATTGAAAACTATTTTCATTTTTTGTTTTCCAATTTTTTTTTTTCAAATACAGAACTACAGAAATTTTATAATCATTATTATTTTTACATACAAATTTTACTTATCCATCTACCTATATTTTGTACTGAATCACCTATCAATACATATCTACCACCATTTACATACTCTATCAACACAGATACCTACTTATCTTAGCATCATCACTATTATTCATATGATCTGTATCTTCACCATTATGACTACCTATAATATTTTATGTTTTTACTCTACCATATTATTAGAAATGACAATAGGTATGTGTTTGTATGTTTAGACATTTTCAAATTTGAATCAGAATGCATTTAGAATTATCTGAATATAAATTAATATAACCATCATTTAAAATCCGTTTGACATTATCCAGATACTACTCGAAACCACCTCAAAATCTATTTAATGCACATGCATGCTCGTACACACATATATACGAGTATCAGCATTAGAATTTCACTACTTTCCGAATTTGTTTCAAACTCAACTATCATCAATTATCCAAACACATCCTAAACACATCCTTTTAGGATTCAAGGGATCTCACCCCTTGATATTATTGTTACCTTTCACGAGCATTATTTCTACGTTAAAATGAAGAAAAATAACCGAGTTTCAAATAATTTCGAATTTTTAATTTGAAAAATACTATTAAAATAGATGTTTTTTGAAAAAATAAAATAAAAACTATTAAATACATTTTCTGTTTTTTTTTTTTTTCTATCATTTTACTGATGAAAAAAGAAAAATATAAAACTTGTAGAAAAATAGAAAACACACTAAACACCAATCTGTGGTTAGACACAAAATCTTTTGTTGTTGGAACAAAATCGCGGAGTTATCGGATAATTGATAAAGCGCCCTGTTTCAAAGAAGCCTCACTGGGGGAATTGCGATTTATGATTCCGGGGACCACGGCAAATTATGATATGTAAAGTAGACATGGTTCTAAAACTGTTTATAATTATGAATATATGTTTCAAAAATTATAAACATATAATTCTATAATTATGAATATAGATTTATAAACATAATTATAAACATATAGTTCTGTAATTATGAATATAAATATTTAATAATTGTAAATATAAAATTTAAAAATTATGAATATATAACTTTATAATTATGAATATATAGTACAGTAATTATGAATATAAAATTTAAAAATTATGAATATATAATTCAATAATTATGAACATAAAATTATGTCCAGCTAGTAAAATGGACACGGATCCACATCATAACAATTGGAAAACAACCTGTCATCGTACGTGAACATTTTCTTGTTCCAGTGACGGTAGAATATAATACCCGATAATAAAATGCTTTAATGAGGATTATGAATCCATGGGCCAAGGCATGTTTTAGTATGTATCTTTCAACCTATACTATAATCTGAGATTATGGATCAGTATGTAATCCAGCTTGTCATTAACCCAAAACCAAAACCAACAATCGTTACACCGTGGACCAGGGTCCAGAGTCCACAGTGCACTATGGACCATGGTTCTAAACGACGTAATTTTGAATTTTAATTTTGACGGTGTCCATTTATTGTTTAATTTATGTTATTGTGTTTTTTTTTTTAAAGTATTGTAAAGCATGTGCATGTGTCTTGTGTTATGCGCTTCTGTATCTCATGTTATGCAATTCTGTACCTTAAGCGTATGAATTCTGTACCTGAAATAAAGTAAATATAACATGTGTTTTTTCATTTTGTGTTATACGTATTTGTGTCTTATATTATGCAATTCTCAACCTTAAGAATATTGATTCTGTACTTGAATTAAAGTAAATATAAAATGTGTATCCATCTAAGATAAGTTTATTCAATAATAATAATAATAATAATTGTTATTGTTGTTGTTTTGACCATGATTGTTATTTATTATTTTAACTATTGTTTTTGTTTTTCTTAAATAAAATTAATTCAATATTAAAAATAAATTTGAATAAACATTGACAGGGCGTTTGGTTGGAGGGATTTTAAATTCCCTTCCCACTTAATTCCCACCTAATTCCAAAGGCCATTAAATTCCGTAGTTTGGTTGGAGGGAATTGCAATTCCATGGAATTGCAATTCCCCCATTTTCATAGAATTAAAATCCCATGTCCCCCCCTGGTATTTTAATTCCTGGGAAAAAAAGATAGTGATGAGTCAACATTACCCCTTCCTTTTTTAACTTAAAATTAATGTCTAACAACAATAATTGACATTTTTGACTTTATACTACTTATTCCCTTTCAATTCCCATGTATACCAAACATTGGAATTGAAATTCCCAGTAATTCTATTCCTGTCAACCAAACACTGGAATTTAAATTCCCACTTTATTCCCAGTAATTCAACTCCCATGGAATTACAATTCTTTTCCCACATAATTCCCCCCCTCCAACCAAACGCCCTGTGATGGTTTTGTTGGGACGGGGTAGGAAAATAGTAGTATTATTGTTCAGGGTGCTAGGCCCAAAATATTACGTACAAATGGGCTTGCTTGGCAATCAACGGTTAGTGGATATCAGATAGCGGATTGTGTTAGTGAGTTTGACCAGCAGATTATATCAGCGGGTTTGTAAAAAGATGTTTGGTAAAATTAGCTTTTTAGATTAGCGGTTAATATGTAAAATGACCTAAAAAGACATTCATATTATTATTATTATTATTATTATTATTATTATTATTATTATTATTATTATTATTAACAACAACATCATCATCATCAACAACAACAACAACAACAACAATAATAATAATAATAATAATAATAATAATAATAATAATAATAATACAAAACAAACAAACAAACAAATATATATATATATATATATATATATATATATATATATATATATATAATTGTAAATGATGTGGGATCATTTTGATCTCACATCGAAAATGTTTGGAAGAAGAGCTCTTAAGCTCCTCTATATAAAAGGAGCAATGCTCATCTTCCAAACGCAATGGCTGTTACTCGCATTGAGAAGCCGAAAGGCTTCTCAGTTAGTTTTTAAAAAAATAATTATAATTAAGGGTGTTTTGGGTAAAATTATATTTTTCCCAAACGCTCAGCATTTGAGTTTTCAGAGCAATTCATTGCTCCAAACCGTTGGCTTACCAAACACTTACTTTAGCGTTTTGATCATGTCAAAACACCAAAGTGGACGGATCCGTTAAACTTTTAGCGGATTCGCCAATAATCAAACATATCAAGCCCGGGACAGATCCGTTAAACTTTTAGCGGATTCGCCAATAATCAAACATATCAAGCCCGAGATACTGGTCCAAAACGACAGCCCAATGGATACATAAATAATAAATACTATAATTATAAGAAATGGACTAGAAATAATAATGTTACTGCTAGGAATCGAGCCCTAATATATGAGCTAAAGGTTAGGATCTCATGTCATTGAACCAAGGGGTATTAAGTGAGCCAATGGGTGATCTTTAAAGGGAGGGAAGAGTGCCTTATATATTGTTGCAGACCTTCCGGATGATTGACAAATGTACAACATTGACTTACCTTAAATATTAGTCATACACATGTCCCCTACTACCTGGATGTCAACGATCTCCATATGGATAAATAGAGCATCCTACCTTGTTATACTTGATATCTTGAGTGGCTTGGGTGATTGGTGCTTAGATTGTTATATTTGAGGTCGCGGGTCCAATACTCTTGGTAGAACCTCCTATATTATTTTGCTCATGACTTCCTTCTTTCCTTAGTTCAATAGATTTTCATTATTCTTATTGGGCCAACAACTCACCAATAAAGATGGACACCCCCGCTTGGACAGTTGGGTCAATACTTTTCTAATAAAATGGACTCCCGAGTGTCCCATGACCTCATCAAACATAATCACCACAATAACAAACGATTATTAAAGATAAATTAAACTTTAAAAAATTAAATGCAACCAACTAATATTAATATAAAAAAAAAAAAAGTACTTTGTTAAGCAATCTGCAAGTCGTGTTGCCCACTCTATTGCTCGGAAAGCCGTTTCTAGGTTAGGTTGCGAGAAATGAGTTGATATTCCTCCCTCTTATCTTGTTGATTTGCTTTCTGATGATTTAATGCATTAAGTTTTTCTTCTAAAAAAAATAATAAAAAAACTACTACTACAATTAACTTTTTCATTTTTAGTGTATTAACATTAATAAGTTAGCCAAAAAATTATTTATCAAACATTCATATATTTGTGAAAATATCAAACATTCATTTTAGTTGTTCCTCAAACCATTAAAGTTGGCAAAATAAGTAAAAACTTGACTGATAAACGGTTTACTAACATGCAAATATTAAACAATTATGTAAACAATATTATTACGGAAAACGTTAAGAATGCCTTTTGGGCATACATGATTTATCATTGATGTGCTGTAATTGCGGTGTTAATTTAAGACTTTTAACTTCACTTTAAATTGAAAAGTCAATAATGTGTGAATGAAGG